TCAACGTTTACAAGGAGAGATACAGCCATCTAGTGAGAACAATTGTAAACAGAATGCACTCCACCCTTTTTTTATTAAAGTGATTGTTTTACTACTTAATTGTTTGCTGTTAGCGGTATTTAGAATAGAAGTAGTAGTAGGTTTAATACGTATCGTAGTGAAGGTGTTATAAATAGCTGTACTACTTCTATTCCGTAGTTGTGCTAACCGTGATGTTGAATACAAAAATAATTTTGTTAGAATTTAGTTCTATTGATGTCGGCTCACTTAATTATAGATATTTAATCCTTGACATAATTTATTCCAAAGGTACCTAATTCAGAAACAATTTATCTTTTATAAAGTATTATTACAAGCTTTTTATTTAACTCACTTCCTCGTCAGTCTGTCTGTCTAGATCGAAACGCCGGAGCGAAAATTCGGACACTTCTACTTAACAGATACCATTCACAGTTGGCACGTGGGTCAAGAAATGAAGACAATGCATTGTGACATTAAATTTGACTTAATTGGATGCCTAATTAATTTTTTATGATTTAATTAAAATTTTTGACCGAATTAGTAGGCATGTCTATCCAACCACACCACACGCGTCATCACGATCAATAGCTGCGCCATCACGTTTCAATCGGCGCGCAATGGCTTTTAGTCATGTAACTCTAGTGTAAATAAAAACATGTAATGTACTAAAAAAAATTCATAAAAACGTTTTATAACAAGCTTTTATGTACTAATACACTAAAAAGTAGAAAATAAATTACAGACTACTATTTAAATAACTAAGAAAGAAAAAGCGTGGGTGTCTTCCTTAACATTAGTAAAGGTATCCAATAGATACTAAAGTGACCCACGCTTTTTCTTTCTAGTTATTTAAATAGTAGTCTAAAATTTATTTTCTACTTTTTAGTGTATTAGTAGGCCTACATAAAAGCTTGTTATTTAAAACGTTTTTTATGAAATTTTTTCTAATGCTTTTTTTTTCAAAATGGTTAGGGTTCGGGTTAGGATTAGGATTTTAATACTATTAATGTACTTAAATTAAATATTTATTTTTAATTGACTAATTTATTGAATTGTATGAAGTAATTCTTTGAATTTCAATTAGATTTTTCGCTGACTTTATAGTTTTTATAGTTTAGCTTTCATTTTTAGGATAAAGTTTCTGGGGGATTAAAAGAATCTATTTTATTTTTTTAAAGGCCTCAATGCCTACTGTTGTTACCGTTATTGAATACATTCAATACAATTTTATAGTGATTCACAATTTTTAATACAGCATGCTACAAAATGCCTTTAATTCTAAATGAACAGGTAAAAACCAAAACAAGACGATGAAAATCTTAGTCCCAAACTTCAAGCTTATCGCTGTCGTCGGCTTGTGTATTGTTCTCGGCATTTTAATATACACCAGCGAAATGCTGTCAAAATTTCAAATCCAATCGGAAAAATCCGTTCCTGAGTTGGTCACAGCAAGCGCTCCACGGCAAGAGACGATTGCTGTTATCTATTTAGATAAGAATATCAACGAGGTAAAGCCGGGTGGAGGGGATAAAAAGGTGGATGTTGTGACGACGACGGAGAGGCCACGGGTGGAGGCTGACGAGGAGAAGATGAGAAAGGAGAGGTTGGACAAACAGCTGGAGGAGTTGAAGGCGTTGTTTGGGCCGGAGGGCAACAACACAGACCTCAAGATGCTGTACTCGTGGAAGGGGCTTGGTCCAGAGAAAGGTGAGATGGGGGGGGGGGCTTGGTACCGAGAAGGTGAGATGGGGTGTGGGCTTGGTACAGAGAAAGGTGAGATGGGGTGGGGGCTTGGTACAGAGAAAGACGAGAATGGGGGTGGGGGCTTGGTACAGAGAAAGGTGAGACGGGGGTGGGGGCTTGGTACAGAGAAAGGTGAGATGGGGTGGGGGCTTGGTCCAGGGAAAGGTTAGATGGGGTGGGGGCTTGGTACAGAGAAAGACGAGAATGGGGGTGGGGGCTTGGTACAGAGAAAGGTGAGATGGGGGGGGGGGCTTGGTACAGAGAAAGACGAGAATGGGGGTGGGGGCTTGGTACAGAGAAAGACGAGAATGGGGGTGGGGGCTTGGTACAGAGAAAGGTTAGATGGGGTGGGGGCTTGGTACAGAGAAAGACGAGAATGGGGGTGGGGGCTTGGTACAGAGAAAGGTGAGATGGGGGGGGGGGGCTTGGTACAGAGAAAGACGAGAATGGGGGTGGGGGCTTGGTACAGAGAAAGGTGAGATGGGGGGGGGGCCTGGTACCGAGAAGGTGAGATGGGGGGGGGGCTTGGTACAGAGAAAGACGAGAATGGGGGTGGGGGCTTGGTACAGAGAAAGGTGGGATGGAGTGGGGGCTTGGTCCAGAGAAAGGTGAGATGGGGGTGGGGGCTTGGTCCAGAGAAAGGTGAGATATGGGCTTGGTACAGAGGTGAGATGAGGGGGCTTGGTATAGAGGATGGTGAGATGTGGGGGGCAAGAAAGGTGAGACCTGTACTAAAAGTCAGCTTTTATTGAGCGTTGGTCAAGTACTTTTTTTTATAATTCAGACTAAGATCAATATTTTTGTTGGTCTATTTAAATTATGTAACCCTTCGAGTATTTCAATGACATGTGCCGTATCTACACTCTCCCCCCTCCCCCCCCCCCAGGTCTGTACAACTTCACCGTGGTGACCGCCATGATGGACATTGGCCGGGGGTCGTGGTCCAACCAGTCCCGCCCCTACAAGACCTACCTGCTGTACATGCTACGTCTGCTGATGATGGACATCAACCTGGTCCTGTTCGTTGACCCGCAGGCCGCCACGTTCGTCGAGTGGATGAGGCAGGGGAGAGAACACAGAACTAAAGTCTACCTCATGGTGTTCAAAGACCTGCCTTACTATAAGTAATTTCTGGTTTGTTACTTGATTGTTGTTGTTTTTTCTTTTCTTTTTTTTTTACATTTGTTAATTTTAATCAATCATTTAAAAAAAAGAATTTAAATTTTATTAGTAAGCGCAACTATAGTATTATTATTAGAATAGCAGGTTTCGATGTCGCCAATGTATCCACCCCCCCCCCCCCCCGCCCCGCTATCCCAACAAGTGGTCTCTTAAAAGCTAAGCAATGCTCTACCCTTACCCTTCAAAACTACCTTACATACTACGAAACAAGTGTTTTTATTGCTGTAGAGTTATACATCTTACCGTCACGCCTAAGTATCTCGAGTAATGTGTAAAGGGACGCAACAAAAACAAAATACAAACTACAGAGCAAGCCAAGGGGAGGGAATCGATTTTTCAGAACTACAGAGTGTTTTTTTTTTGTTATCTCTCTTGTTTTTGCATTGCTGTTCGTACATCATATTTGATAGGCTCAATGTAAAGTTGAAAACGATTTTGGTTTCTATGAACAGACTGAAGGATCGTATGCGGGAGATCATGAACAGCACTGAGTACAAGAAGGACAACGAGTTGGTCAGGGACAAGTTGTGTGAGTCATACATACCTGAGTACGACATTCTACAGCTGTCTAAACTCTACTTCATGGACAGGTGAGAGAGCTTAAGGTCTAGTTAATGAACAGGTGAGAGAGCTTAATGTCTAGTTAATGGACAGGTGAGAGAGCTTAAGGTCTACTTCATGGACAGGTGAGAGAGCTTAAGGTCTAGTTAATGGACAGGTGAGAGAGCTTAAGGTCTAGTTAATGGACAGGTGAGAGAGCTTAAGGTTTAGTTAATGGACAGGTGAGAGAGCTTAAGGTCTAGTTAATGGACAGGTGAGAGAGTTTAAGGTATAAACAGTTTTTTCTTGTAAGAATAGGTTTTTTCTTTATGTTCTTGGTTGCATGGTGTTCTTTTGTTTTGTGTAGTTTCGATATGTAATTTGGGTTTTGGTCTTAAACTTATTATCTATTCGCCAGAAGAAAAAAAAATTGTTTCGTTTATTTTTCTCAGCAATTATAGTTTTTATAATACTACTTTTTTTATTTATTTTGATCTTAGGGCCGCTAGGGAAAATCCGTTCAAGACCACATACTTTATGTGGATGGATGGTGGATACGGCCACGGGAACAACGTGTATCCACCCAACAACCTGTGGATACCAAAAGGATTATTCGAATATCCGAATCAGGTGACCTTCATCAACCGTAACCCAGGGGTCGAGCATTATAGGAGCGTCAAGGACAAAATCCACAAACTAAGCATCAATATTTTGGCGGGGAACTTCTTCTCCGGCGGTGGCGAAAACTTCAAGGAGCTGTACCGGCTGCAGCAGGAGCAGGTGGGCGAGTGGATGGAGCAGGGAGTCGTGGACGATGACCAGACCATGTACATGCTGATCTATTACAAGAAACCAAGTTTGTTTCGTTTGGTCACCGGGGATTGGTACGACGTGTTTAAACTTTTTAATGCGCAGCAGTAATGTAATGTAAATCTTGGACTTCATAAAATATTGGGGGAAATATATTTTTGTAATGTCTGTGATATTGTTCCTAAACAAAGTGCATTTGATATTAGTTGTGTGCACAAAACAAAATATTATTTTGAAAGTATTTAGATAATATTCATTTTTTCACACATAATATTTAAAAAAGAAATAAATGCAACCAATATAATAACATCATATTTGCCTATAATTCAGGGGTCTCCAAACTCTTCAGCCCGAGGGCCGCATTGACTATCAAATATCGGTTCGGGGGGCCAGAATTATCTGAACGCACCTCTTCGGTGTGGCGGAGGCCTTTAAGGGGACGTATAGATCAGAAGATTTCCCTCTCTTCTAGTTTTAGGTTAAGAAAATTTAGTGACTAGTTATGTCAGCAGCAGAGGCCAATTTCTATACCGACTCTTCATCAGACATGAATGGCTGTGGCTTGCCTTTACTTTCCAGGAAGTAACCTATTTCTTTCTTAACTTAAATACCCTTCTCAGTACGTTCTCACAACTTAGCCATCTTTGTCTGTATCTCTCAACGTGTCACTGGATTGTCTGTGGTTGAGCCCCTGTAACCTCATGAAATTCTCCATCTTTACATTTTCCGTGGAGAAAAAGATCTCCGCGGGCCGGAGTTTGGAGACCCCCGGCCTATATGATAGTAATGTGTCACTTATTAGCACTCTTTTTCACAGTGTAAAACTCTCATACAGTGTAACATTGTCATAATTTGAAAAATTGTCATGCTTTGTATTATACTCATACCATTTAACATATCAATGTTTTATAAGAATTGAGTTTAACTATGCAAAAAATGGAAGTAAATATGCTATATAACAAGCGAAATGTAAAACATTGCTAACTCAGTGTCCGAAAATAAATACAAAAGCAACATTTTATGCAATCCTAAAATGTTTAGAAAAAGTATTTTACCTGCAACCTTAGCTTTAATGTATCTTTTATTTGAAAACATTCCAATAGGTTCAACCATTCATCAGGTCACGCTTTTAATTTTGCCGATCTCAGCCCCACCCTCCCTCCTTAGTTACAGCGGTAACCAAAATAGAATGCATTGAAGTGACCTGATACTTCATCCACACCCCCCCCCCCCCCCTCCCCATCTAACGATCTGACAAAGTGATCTTTTTTTTTTTTTACGATTTACAAGGGGGAAAATCTTAACTGAGATTAAATGTTTTTGTAGCTGATTATATTAAATCCTGCCTTGTAAGTGCAATAATAGTGTGAAGTCGGTCTTTCTTATAGGCGACACCTATTTGCACACCAAAACACCATTTCTAAAATAAAGAGAACCAACACCTTCGCACACCCACCACCGTGTTTATTTCTAGCCAGATCAGTACAGTTAATATTAACAAGCAAATTTTGATATAAGTTCAATAGTAGGCCTATATGCTTTAAGTCTTCTTCTAAACATTGCGATGCGATTTTTATGTGGAAGAACTGTAAACAAAAGCCATATGTGGGTGGAAGATTACAACACAATTTAATACTTGATTGTTTAAATTTACATAATGTTTATTATACTATTTTTCGACATGTTTAAATTTGGAATATTTGTTGGTTTTGTATAATTTTTTAATCTGGTATTAAATTGATAGAATTTATTTTCAAAAAATCTTACATTGTTTATCCGAGATTTGTGAAAATCTCCATTTTTTGCATGATTACAATACTTCCTCTATACTGATGTACGAGAAAGTAAAAAAAAATTCATTAAAACATTTTAAATACAAGCTTTTATGGAATAAATAGGCATACTGTCTAGCTTCGCTGAGGTTTTCAAAAAAAAATTGCGAAAATTTTAATTCTTAATTAATTAGAGATTGCCTGATACGGAGATCTTTACAGTAATGATAATTTTAGAGAAATTGATGGAATGTTCGCAATTTATTACTTGAAAGTAATCAGAACTACAAAGGTTCCCTGAATAGTATAATTTGCAAGTTATATTAAATTGACTTTTAAAATTAACTACTTAACTACTACAATTTAATTGGGATAAATTACACAAATCTTACTCCAATAAATGCTAAATTTTTACATTTTCTAATTGAGTTTAATATAGTATAAAATTGTTTGAAAAATAATTATTTTAAACAGTTACCTCCCTTGAAAATTGACCCAATCTTTGTTTACTTTTTTCACAAAACATGGTATACTTATATAAGAAAATACGGCATCGGGACAAATTTAACAACCATAATGTTTTTTTCCGAAGGGAAATAAGTGTTTTTGTTACACTCCAGGGTCGGTCTACGACCTCACAAAATATCAGGGGGATAGCTCGGCAATTTTTTTTTAATGCTCATATAAGGAGAATTTTACTCGCGTTCACATTTTAGCCTTCGTCGTGTGAGCAGGGGCTGACCGATAGATTATCCATAAGGCCGATTTATTTACCACGAATTATGGAAAAAAATTAGCCAGGCATACAGAGCCAAAGTTTCTAAACATTATTTTGAAAATAGTCATCGCTTTTCATTAAATTAACAATGTTTATATAGGGAATTCGGACCTGTCCGTTCTAAACCCCTTCCGGAATTTTCCAAAAGATAACGCCTATTGTATAGTGACCCCCGCGGGTATTTATACGATCTCAGGAGCTATTATTGGGTTTGTACGTCTTGATATTTGTATTTTTGTTTTTACAAAAACAGTACTATGGTTATATAAGTAAATATGGACTCTGCTCACTGGTCAGTTAAAACATTGTTCCGGAATTTTCCAGAGGGTAGCACAATTGTTTCCCTAACTCCCTGTGGCCGATGTACATCTCCAAGAGTTTTCAAAGGGTTCTTACGTGGTAAATTTTTTTCGATAAAATTGTTCTCACAAAATTAACAATGTTTATATAGGGAATTCGGACCGGTCAGTTCTAAAGCCCTTCTGGAATTTTCCCAAAGATAACGCCTATTGTATAGTGATCCCCGCGGGTATTTCTACGGCCTCGCGAGTTATGATTGGGTTTGTACGTACATATTTTTGTATTATTTTTTTTACAAAAACAGTACTATGTTTGTATTAGGAAATATGGCCACTGGTGAGTTAAAACATTGTTTCGGAATTTCTTCGAGGGTAGCACTATTTTTTCTTGCCCCCCCCCCCCCCTCCCCCCGTCTGGGTCCGATGTACATCAAAGGGTTCCTAAGTGGGAAATTGTTTTCGATAGTTCATACTAGGTAAACTGTCTAGCTTCGCTTCGGTTTTCAAAAACATTTGAGAAATGAATGCTTAACTAATTAGTTATTGGCTGATATGTGGATAAGTTATCGGTCAGCCTCTGCTTGCATGGCGAGGGCTAAAAAGTGACCGAGCTATATATCGAAAAAAAATTCCCACGTATGAACCCATTGAAAACTCTTGGGAATGTACATCTATCCAAGGGGGTCAGGAAATAAATTGTGCTACCCTCGGGAAATCTCCGGAATAATGTTTTAACTGACCAGAGGCCATATTTCCTTATATAAACATAGTACAGTTTTTGTAAAAAAAAAATACAAAAATCTAGACGTAAAAACCCACTCATAACTTCTGAGGTCGTAGAAATACCCGCGGGGGTCACTTTACAATAGGCGTTATCTTCGGGAAAATTCCGGAACGGCTTTAGAACTGACCGGTCCAAATTCCCTAGATCTATATAAATATTGTTAACTTGGCGAAACACGATTGCTATTTTCAAAACAATGTTTTGGAACTTTGGCTCTGTACATATGGCTCGTTTTTTGCATAGAGCTGAGTAACTCAATCGGCCTAATAGATAATCTATCAGTCAGCCTCTGCTCGCACGGCGAGGGCTAAAAAGTGACCACGAGTGACATTCTCTTTACATCCGATTTATATAAAAAAAAACAATTGCCGAACGATCCCCCTGATATTTTGTGAGATCGTAGACAGACCCTGGAGGATAACAAAAACAACTTTATTCCCGTCAGAAAAAAAACATTAAGATGTTTAAAAATGTCCAGATGCCCTATTTTCTTATATAAGCATAGCAACTGTTTGTGAAAAGTAAGTAAACAAAGACTACGTCATTTGGTCGATTTGCAGGGGAGGTAACGTTTTGAAATAAATATTTTTACAACAATTTTATTTTATTTTAAACACAAACAAAAAAGACGAAGTATAGCATTCATTTTAGTAAACTTTGTGTTAAGTATTCAAGTACGTCAGCACTTCAAAAGCCAACTATTCATCTCACTGTAGCATCCTGGAAGACTATTCCATGCGTCTCATAATAGTGCCTTATCTCGCGACGTTTCTTTAACAGCTGTCCACTTGTGCAGAGAAATGAGCTTGTTTTTCTGGACCTCCAACTCTTCTAACTTGCTCTTGAGTTCCGCGAACTTACCACTCCACAAATGTTTTGTTTTTAAATCCAGCAATTTCAATTGAAGCGAACCAGCATCAATTCCAAATAGCTCAAAAGCTCAAAATTAATCTCATTTGTTTTTTCTTGAGAGGATCTACGATGAACGTCAGAGTGCTTGCATTTCTTTTGAAATGCTCAAATCTCTAAGTGAATCAATCCTTCATTTTGTTTATTGTAATGCTAAAGTAATTCATGTTAATAGTAGCATTGGTTTCATCGTTACATTTTTTAGATTTTGTTTAAATTAAGTAATTTACCGCTCTCCGTGTCTTCAATAAAAAAAAAAAGTTTTTTTTTCGAAACAATCAACTTCTTCAAGCAAGGCATTGGCTGGGTTTAAATTTAGCTCGTTTTACATTTAGCTGGTTTAGTTTCTTTGTGATATCCACCATAAAGTTGTATGTTTCAATTCGGGATGGACAATTTAATAGAAAGTACATTGAAATAGGGAGTAATTAAATATTCTAATAGAATAGCGAGTGTTTATTGTTAATATTTATTATTATATCGTTCATTACAGAGTGTTGCAGAACAATATTTTTTGTCAGTTTTGAAAATAAAATAAAATAAAACAATTATTAACATTTGTGCATAGAGCTGAGGGCCGCATCTCGACATCAAAAGAGCCGCATGTGGCTCGCGAGCCGCAGGTTGCCGACCCGTGGTGTGGGTGTACGTGTAGGTGAAAGTTAAGTACGTATGTCTGCGCAAATGTTTTTGATGTATTGTTATGTGTAAGTGTGCGTATACTGGTTGATGTAGGAGTAATTGTAAATGTAGGCGTAGGTGTCGACGTAGATTAAGTATACGTTCACGTGCGCATCCGGTTACGTTAGGCCTACGTGTCCTAATATATGTGTTCGTTGTTTGCATGCACTCCACGTGTACATGCATGTGCGCATGTACGTGCACGAGTATGTCTACTTGGAATGTTGGTAGGATATCATATAATATGTATACATAATGAATTCTATAAACCCGCACCACAGCTATAAGGCAATAACATTTTAATTAAACTTGGCCTGTAAACAAATTTACAAATATTTTCGCTAAAATTAATATAAACCAGCTTCTACGTGACTACATCAGTCCCCTATCATTCTCTTCGTCCTAGTGTACGTTGA